AAAAACAACAAAAAATTTTAGTAAAATTTTGCCGGGAATGTTTTTTTCTGCATATGTACCGGTAGGCCTACTCACATAATAGGCCTATTTACTGTAAAAAGAAATGGCAAAAATTAACTGACCGTTTTAAAGAGGGGTAAACCTTAAATTTTGAAGAATTTACAAAATTAATTAAAGGACACATCAGAAGTCGGGAAAACTTATTTCCAGCCACTGGGAATCAATGTTTTGCCGAGGAGAACCTCAAGCCCCACGAACCCTTTCTCATTTTGGTTCATCGATTCAGTGAATCGTTTTCAAGAGGGGGAAAGCCTAAACTTTAAATGACTTAAAAGTCATTAAAAGACACCCCAGAGAAGTCGGGAAAGCTGATTTTCCGCCATCTAGGAATCAAAATTTACCCGACCCCCTTTCTCTTTGGGGCTCATCGATTCATGGAAAAAAAATACGTATGCAAATACCTTAGTCAATTTGTCTATGTATATATACATACATAGGCCTATTTACTGTAATAAGAATAAGAAAAATTTACCTGACCGTTTTCAAGAACTTAAAAGTCTGAAAGACATTTCTGAAGCCTGGAAGCTCAGTTCCCGCCAACTAGTACGGTATTCCCCTCTCTTTATTTGGGTTTTTTTAAAAGTTATTTTAACCCCTCCCCCTGCCCTGTAAATTTCAACCCAAATCCGCCCATGTAGTCTTCAGCCTCTACCTGTGAAAATCCCTCGCTGGCCCCTCTATTTCGAATTCCCTGATGTGCTTCTTGTAGAAGCGGTTGGCGCATCGGTTGTGGCTTGGACTCCCAACCTCGAGGTCGGATGTTCGAAACTCTCACTCTGCAAATCGCTTGTGTCCTTGGGCAAGACACTTTATCTACGGTTGCCTCTCTCCACCCAGGAGTACAAGTGGGTACCTGGTAGGTTCCAACACAACTGCGCTGATTTGCCGCAATATTAAGGAATAATAATAATATAATTTAACTTAATAATTTAATTTGGTGTTCAATGTGTTCCATACGTGTTTGATCCAATGACCGGGGTAGTAATGTGAAGCGCTTAGAGGCTTTGTAAAGACATTAAGCGCTATATAAGAACGACATATTATTATTATTATGACTATTATTATTATTTGAATATGAATTAAATATCAGATTTATGTGTTCGATTGGTTCAAGGTACTTTAATAAAATACAAAATCTCCTACATAATTGTATTGTAGGCACAAAATATAGGTGTGATTTTGCCCAACCTGACGTGAAAATGTACTGAATACTCAGTACGTGTGAAAAGACTTCGCAAGTTGCTCTCGGATGGAACCCGAACCCACGATCTCCAGATCACAGGTCTGGCATCATACCTCTAAACACTTAGCTGGCACCTGATGGCCAGGGTTTAAATTCGATCCCATGTAAGCAGCGGGTACTGCAATGTGGATGGTAATTGATATTGTGATGGAATAGACAATAATAGGTTTGGCAAAATTACACCTAAATTTGAGTCTCCTGACGCAAATCCAGTAATTGTCTATATTCCATCACGACAATAACAATTACCATACAAGATATGTATTTATTGCAAGCTTTTGTATACTATTTACTGGGTATATTTCTTCCCTGCAGTTACCAGTAAAGTTCGACTTTATCAGAGCTATTTTACATGACTGAATGGTTTCAAACTGAAATGTTAAGTTAGTTGTCTGAATCTTGAATTAAAAAAAAAAAAAATCATTTCTAAGGCAAAAGATTCTTTCTATTTTCATGTTGGATTTAGTCACCATCACCAATTACATACATTGAATTTTCTTGCCGGGTACGTTAAGACCCTTTGAGCCTAGCATTTTTAATAGGTTGTACAACTGATTTTTCTGACACGCAAAAAGTGTTTTTGACGAAAAATTCTGGAACGGTTAATGAGGTACAGATTTTTGAATATTTAAAAACTTGGGGAAAGGGCCGTAACCACTATTTTTCTAACAAGATCCTGTGAGGCGCGACGCTAGAACGGAATCACTCATTGTGATCGTGACCGTCCTACCTGGCGCCCTACGTTCTCTGCATACGTAGATTTACCTTAACGTTCTCGCATGCGCAGATGACTTTTAGTGACGTCATTACGTTGTACGTCCTACCGTCGTCGTGCAATCGAAAGCGCCATAAAATGTCTTTTGTTTGGTACGTTAAACTACATACAGTTCGCCCTCCAATTTCGAGAACACCTTGAGAACTGAAAATTTGGGTGCCATGATCTCGGGGATCGGTCTCCATCATAGAGGGTTCTTCGGAAAAGTGGTTTCGAATTAGAGGGGTGTTGGATTTAGAGGGGTCTCGAATTGGAGGGTGCACTGTATTACAATTTTTGTATGAAACCGGTATAGACTTGCTATAAGTCGGTTTATGTCGAGAAACCTATTATGTTGTTGAATTTCGATACGAATTAAAGTATAATATGGAACGCCATGCAACTAAGTAACATGGAACGCCATTTGTGCCAAAATAGATATATTTTAATAGTTTTCACTGTTCAAGACAACATTAGGGACTGGAACCCAGTATAGGCCTAATACTGGTACTGATTTTTATAGTTTTCATTACATACGATTTAATTCATTTCAGCTGAACTCAGTGATGATCGTCGAGACACAACGCCACAATCGGTACTGTTTCTACCCCTCCTGTTATACTCCTACGCTTTTGGAGTCCTAGGAGGTCGGCTTTACATATTTCTCACAAGTTAAACCGTCAATGCCTGGCGCTGGTGTCGTTTTGTATGGTCTACCCTTTAATCGTTTAAAATCTTCTTAATAATAAAAACATAGACAATGCTTAAAGAGTCATTCTTTTTGCTTACATTGCCGGCTTTCAAAATCATCATTAACAAAAGTAAGTCTATCATTTATATATGAATTAAAACAAATCATTTTTGTATGATCGTTATAGAATTAGTATAAATCACTGTAAGAAATCGGAATACTACTGACAGAAAATTTTGATCAAAGGGTTTGAGCGCTATGTACTCTCTCTAGCTAGTTCTAGAGTCCGTGTGTTCCAAGATGAATGGGAATATGAATAGGTTCGTTTTTGGAGGATAGAGGGGGCACAATTTTTCACAAGAACCCCAAAAAGGAAGGGGGTCCGGGAAAATTTTGATTCCAGATGGCGGGAAATGAGCTTTCCCGACTTTGAGCTAGGTGTCTTTTAATGACAAAATTCAAGGTTTTCCAACTCTTGAACGGTTAGAGAAAATGTTGATTCCTAGATGACTGGAAATGAGCTTTCCCGACTTCTAAAATCAGCTCAGGGGTCTTGAAAAGGGTGGTCTAGAATTCTTTTTATTTTTCTTTTTTCTTTTTCTTTTTTTTTTGCCCAAGGGCCAGGACCCATGATCCTCCAGATCCGCCAATGTGAATTGCGAGAAAATCTAACTCGGTCGGGGACTGGATAAACACAAAAATACAAAAATCTCCATAGCCATTATATATTTTTTGCCAAAAAAGGGAAGGGGGGGGGGGGGGGGGGGTTCCCCCCCCCCACCCCGGTTTCGCCGCCCATGCGGGTATCAACGTTTACAGTGGCGGATCTAGGAATTTGAAATATATGGGACCCAGAAAAGGACTTTCACAGATGGACGGTCTATCTACCTCAGCCTCAGTCCAAGCCCTTTATTTAATATATAACGTAAAGAATTTACTATTCGATACATAGTAAACATAAAATTTAGAGTAGTAGAAAATACTCATGAAAAAGAATTAGAATCGATTAATTACCAGCTTTCATCTATATACGGTCAGCTTTATTTACAATCCTCATGGGAAAAACACATGAATGATACTGGACGAATGTATACGTTTAATCATTTTTATTTATTTATATTTTATTATATTTTATCTAGTTATCCAGGGCCCCTGCCAGGCCGGGGCCCCGGGGCAGCTGCCCCGGTTTCCCCGGCCTCTTGGCGCCACTGGTTCTAATCCCACTAATTACCATATACAAGTGATTTTAATGTACCACTGCATAAATTTATATTACAATGATTCTAAGGACTTTGTATTAATGATTAAAATAAAGAAAATATCGAGGTATGATAGTTAAAGACATATTGATATTCGAACAAAGCTTTTTTATATTTTTATTAATTGCTTTAGGCCGATATGCAAAACAGCAAGCTTAATCTGTGAGCAATCGTTGAGTTCGTTCAGTTCTTTCATAACAACACGGCCCCCTAAACAAATTTCCACAGCTTTGCATGAAACGGCGCCTGATTATGTCATTACAGAAACAGAATATAATGCAGTTTGCTGCGCCCTGGAAGCTATCGCCAACACCCTGTAAGAAAAGTTTAAAAACAAAGAAAATATTTTTTTTGTCAATGTATCAGCAACAAAGTAATATCGCTACAGTGCAACAACAATAAACAGTACTACCACCACTATCCCCACCACCAACAGTAGCTGCACTATTACGCGCCATGATTACCACCAACAATATACGAACACCACCACCACAAGAACAGCAGCAGTATTAGCACCTGTCTCTTATACACATCAAAGATGTGTATAAGAGACAGGGGTAGTAATGTGAAGCGCTTAGAGCTTATGATCAATCCTATCTGCAGCTGCTGATACACTTCTTTGATTGGAAATGTCTGCGACCTGATTCTGGTAACACATCTGCAATTGACGAGACATTGAGTTGGACACTACATGTTGAATATGTTTTTTAAAAAAACCAGTTTAATCCAAACTGGGTATTTTAAGTAAAATACGTAATTGTGTCCCCCAAAGCAGCCTAAATACACTGTTCGTAAGTTTGGTTAGACCATCGTTTGACTATTGCTGCGCAGTATAGGGAGGTTGTTACATATCCCACAATACCTTACCTAGCAAGTGAATACAAAACAGCAAGGATAATTTTAAACTGTGATTTTCTTACCCATCAGCATATATGATCTGTCTCTTATACACATCTAGATGTGTATAAGAGACAGATTACCAGCTTTCATCTATATACGGTCAGCTTTATTTACAATCCTCATGGGAAAAACACATGAATGATACTGGACGAATGTATACGTTTAATCATTTTTATTTACTTATATTTTATTATATTTTATCTAGTTATCCAGGGCCCCTGCCAGGCCCGGGCCCCGGGGCAGTTTCCCCGGTTTCCCCGGCCTCTTGGCGCCACTGGTTCTAATCTCACTAATTACCATATACAAGTGATTTTAATGTACCACTGCATAAATTTATATTACAATGATTCTAAGGACTTTGTATTAATGATTAAAATAAAGAAAATATCGAGGTATAATAGTTAAAGACATATTGATATTCGAACAAAGCTTTTTTATATTTTTATTAATTGCTTTAGGCCAATATGCAAAACAGCAAGCTTAATCTGCGAGCAATCGTTGAGTTCGTTCAGTTCTTTCATAACAACACGGCCCTCTAAACAAATTTCCACAGCTTTGCATGAAACGGCGCCTGATTATGTCATTACAGAAACAGAATATAATGCAGTTTGCTGCGCCCTGGAAGCTATCGCCAACACCCTGTAAGAAAAGTTTAAAAACAAAGAAAATATTTTTTTTGTCAATGTATCAGCAACAAAGTAATATCGCTACAGTGCAACAACAATAAACAGTACTACCACCACTATCCCCACCACCAACAGTAGCTGCACTATTACGCGCCATGATTACCACCAACAATATACTAACACCACCACCACAAGAATAGCAGCAGTATTAGCACCAACACCAGCATCACCAACAACACCTCCATTAACACCACCACCAGCAGTACCACTACCACCAGTAGCATTACAGGCAACAACATCGCCACCAATAGCACCGCCAACTGTAGCACACTAATAAGTAGCACTGCACAACCACAACCACCACCACATCCATATTACCAACACTACCACACAGTGGCAACGCCAGCGTGGGGACAGGAAGGGGCTTAAGTCCCCACCGGACAGGTCAAGCCCCGCTAAACCCCCCCCCAAAAAAAAAAAAAAAAAAAGGCCCACACCACCAAGCCAACACATGTATGTCACAGTCTGAGAGTGCCATTTCCGGCCATCCAGAGGCTGCTATTTAAAAAAAATCTCATTTGGGAGTGGACCCCCCTCTCATCCCCTTCCCTCAGCTCGAGCCTACTAACTCAAGTCCCCCTGTCGGGCAACTTAGCCTTCCCCCCCCCCCCGGAAANCGGAAAATATGTATATGTCCTAGAGACGCTGCTACCACTATGGCAACACCAGCACAACCAGTACTAACAGCACCACAAACATTACCAACAGCACCACCATTACTAACAACTTTACCATTACTAACCAGGCCCGTATCCAGGGTGGGGGATGGTTTATGGTTCGGAAGAATCTCTTTTTTTTTGGCGACCCCCTCCTCTCTTCAAATTTCCCAAACAAATCCTCTAACCCAACTAGTGCACTGTAGACCCACCCAGACACAGTCGTTTTCAAATATATCTGTTTCGCCGACCCCACCGGGGCTTCGACCGTGGACCCCCCAGAAACCACCACCCCCACCCCCGGAAGAACCTGCTAACAACACCACCAACAAAAACAGCAACATCAACATAACTACCTAACACCACCCATGTCAAAAACAAAAAGAATCAACACCAACAACAAAAAAGTAAAATAATATATGGAATGTTACCGGAAACTTGAGTATATTGTTCATATGTATGAATAGGCCTAGTTTAACAGATGGATTATTGTATGTGTAACATGTGCTATTGAATGTTGATGAATATCTATGTAGATGGTATCACCCATCAATAGTCTGCACAATACTTACATGCAAAAGAAAAAGGACTGGATTGGAGACATTCTTATGGCACAATGTCAATATAAACCTTAATGTACTCCATATATTTAGCAATAGAAATATAGTAGGAATAGCTGTCAACTTATGATCAATCCTATCTGCAGCTGCTGATACACTTCTTTGATTGGAAATGTCTGCGACCTGATTCTGGTAACACATCTGCAATTGACGAGACATTGAGTTGGACACTACATGTTGAATATGTTTTTTAAAAAAACCAGTTTAATCCAAACTGGGTATTTTAAGTAAAATACGTAATTGTGTCCCCCAAAGCAGCCTAAATACACTGTTCGTAAGTTTGGTTAGACCATCGTTTGACTATTGCTGCGCAGTATAGGGAGGTTGTTACATATCCCACAATACCTTACCTAGCAAGTGAATACAAAACAGCAAGGATAATTTTAAACTGTGATTTTCTTACCCATCAGCATATATGATTACACCAACTAAATTGGCTTTCGTTTTCTGAGAGTTATGCATAAAAAAAAACTATACTTGTTTTTAAATGGTTAGTAACTCGTGAAACAAGACGGTCAACTCTTATGAAGTTGAAGGTTACATGTGCGAAAACGAAAGTTGCTTCACGAGTTATCAGTGTGACAGGGACGAATATGGACTTTTTCAGATATCGTGAGTGAGAACTGTGACTTCTTTAAACATATTCAAATACAAATTGTATGCGGAGGCACTAATTAAGAAATATAACCGTTAATACGACCATGTGCTTAAAATGCAGGGCCCCAATGGAGATGATCAGTTTTTATCTGCTTGGGCTACCCTGGATCAATAGTGTAATAAATAATTAAAATAACACTTTAAAAAATATCAAAATTTAGCAGGGAAAAAGGTCTATATTGATATAACCTTCATGCTTTCTCAATCAACATATTATTTTATTATTATTATTATTATTATTATTATTATTATAGATGGATTTATATAGCGCAAATAAACGAGGTCTCTATGCGCTCGGGACTAGATGTTGCACTTTTCAATAACTTTCTTCTCCCCTGAGTGTCACCTCATGTCCTCTGCAGCCAGGAAATCGGCGCATTTTCATCTGTCCACGACAGGGGCCGAGTGAACCAGTACACCGGGGTAGCCCCTACTCATCTCGAAAGATGTACTGGGCTCTTTAAAGTGTACATGAGCATTTGTGTACACTGGGCCTACGGTTTATAGTCCTTATCCGAGAAGACTAGTTCCACCACCAGATATGAGCGAGCCGGCCGCGAACCAGTATTGTTGGATGATCACGGTGCCCCTGCCTTAACCGCTCGACTATTTGGCTCGCTCAAATATGTATATGTATAGTAATAACATTTTAAGCTTTTTGAATAGGCTGTTTTAGTGGTTCCATTCTGGTTGTTAAACTTCTGCAGGGGCGGATTTAGTGGGGGGGGGCAGCCCGGCCCCACACCCCCCCCCCCCCCTTTTGGGAGATTAAAAAAAAGAAAAAAAAGAAAGAAAAAAAGAAAGATAAAGAAAAAAATGATAGCCCAGAACGCCTCAAATGTTATTTTCGGGCGTCTAGAACACAACAATTTTGCGGGGCCATGCGGACACCCTAGGGCATTGTTGTCTCGATCCGCCCCCCCCCCTTTTGGACATCTCTGGATCCGCCCCTGTTCTGGTCAGGACTTCAAACCACACGCTGTCCGATCTCGGCTCGATCTCGGCCGACCATATAAATACCCCGAATTGCATTGTTGACAGGCTGTGAAGTGGCTTATAATAATAATAATAATAACAACAATAATAACAATAATAATAATAATAATAATAATAATAATAATAATAATAATAATAATAATAATAATAATAATAATAACAATAATAATAATAAATATTTTGTTAATTTTTTTAAATTAAATATTTTCTCAAGTTTGGACAAAAATCTTATATATGTGTTATCTTGTGCAAGATAAATAAACTACTCACACATTTGTTGATCTGGAAGTAAAGAATCAGAAGAACAAAGTAAGCTGCCATTTCCCAAAATTTTCCACCAATCAGCCTCCACATCATCCACTCAAATTTGTGTTTAGGGGAAAAATTGTGAATCCAGCACCAACCTGCGGTGGTGCATGAATTATCATACCCTAGAACTTTGAAGTTCACTGCTACAACCACTGTGACAAGTGGAACCCCCCAGCAAACTAAATGGAATATTCGAATTAACCAATCCAAAACCATTCTACAGGACTTAACTATTGATGCGTAGATGTAGGTCGCTATTGCCACCGTCCACAAATAAGAGCTGGTCTCTGAGAAGGTGGTGATGCCGCTCTGCACTTCGCATTCCGTAGAATTAAAAAAATTAGATTTAAGTAAATTATTAGATATGCCGTAAGCATAACCAACTGAGGCAAGGAAGTTCGTAATGGAGAGGTAGACTAGTAACTTGCGTGCCTTCGTTCGTAGATCCCGCCAAATTATGAAGGTACAGATGATTAACAATGATCCGATCACCGACAGAACACAAGAAATCAGGATGGTCACCGGCACCCACTTATGAATGTCGAATGGTTGAGAACAGGTGTCATTTTTATCCATGGTTTGAACGTATGTATATCCTGGAAAACACCAATAACAACAATAACGTTAATGATGATGATAATAATGATAATGATGATGATGATAATAATAATTATAATAATAATAATAATAATAAAAATAAAAATAAAAATAATAATAATAATAATAATAATAATAATAATAATAATAATAATAATAATAATAAATAATAATAATAATAATAATAATGATAATAATAATAATAATAATAATAATAATAATAATAATAATAATAATAATAGTAATAATAATAACAATAATATTTCAATTACTATTACAATTATTATGAACCATAAGGGTTACTAGTTACAAATCATAAACACATACTTAATACATTTACACCTTGTTGGAATAATTTATAGTTTATTTAAACAAAAATAAAAAGTTCCTGTGCGATACGATTTTCTGGTTCACTTTCAGATCAGTGACACCAACACTTTTATGGTGCACCCAAGAACAGTATATAATATAAACAAAGCAAAGCAAAAAGGAAGTTCAAAAACTCACTTACACTAAAACTAAAACGGGTAAAAAGTATAACAAACAAAACAAAATAAGTTATTGTAATGTTTTACCTTTTTTGCATATCTCACAAATTGTTATTATATTTATTTGTTAGTAAATGAAATAAAACGCCCGAGCAACACAAAAACTTGAGTAGAACTTAACCTATGACGCAACAATTCAACAAATGTCGAAGACCAAAAAGTGCTTAGGCTGAAAATTGTGAACACTAAATCAAAAGAGGAACATAAACAGTTAAATTTAGACTAGAAAAAAATGTTTGATGAAAAAGCCATGTCTTAGGAAAATCACTTCTACAACATCGAATTTATTTTTTCTCTCCGGAGCTTGACTTTAGAACAACAGAGGAATAACATTTTACACGATATCTGAAAACGAGTCACTGACAATAATAAGAAACGACCTCGAACAGAAAAGTTTGGAAATCGACCAAGCTATAGATGGCGCGCGAATGTTTAGAGCAGTAGAACTGTAGAGGAAAAAATTCGAAACCCCAAAGAGTTCGATGAACAACAATTCATTGCGAATCCAAACGAAATTGTAATAGTCTTAGCGAAATAATTTGAAAGAAAATTTCATGATTAAAATGACCCAATGGTGGATCCGTTCGAAGGGCGGCCAAGAAGACTGCAAAATAACATCTTAACAAAAATGAAGTCAAGACTCAAGTCTTTAAAAACTAAAATAATAATCGTGCGGCTGGTGTACGTGGAATTCAAGGACTCGGAGGGTTGCTCAAGTATGGAGCGGATACTGTTGCCCCATCGCTAATATTTTTGATGCCGTATTTCAAAACCATAAAACAATAGATCAATAGCCTACAGGAATTCTAATTACGCTTCAAAAACCGGAAAAGAAAATGGACCAATGGGAAACCTAAGAGTACTAATTTTTCTCAACACTATTAGGAAATGCCTGTCACCATTCACGTTAGAAAGATAAAAAGTAAAGTCGACAATTATCTACCGCTTAGCCAAAGCTGATGCAGGGACGCAGCACTAGCGATTATTGTAGTGCTTGCTCATAACTGACTGGTTGCCAAAGCCATACTTCGAAAATGGAAATCAATATAACAGGAATTGACTTATTGGGTGCAATTTAACACTATTAATTTATAAAGGTTCGTCTATTTTATGACTGAAAGACCTGCCTTTGTCAAAAAAGTTATGTTTTGCTCTATACTTTAGGCCTACACAATATCAGTTTTGGGCCTACAAGGATTAAAGAACTGCTTAAAAATAGTAAATTATTACAGGATATATTCTTTATTCTTTATTCAAATTTCTGCTAAGCACAAAACAACAAACAAAATTACAAAAACATGGCAAGGAAAGACCAAACAGGTGCTAAACACCTATGCAGGTTGGTCAACCCAAAAAAGTACAGAAACAGAACAACTACTCTCTAAAAAAGGAACATCTACACGAAAGTGACCAACTACAAACATTTTCAACATCAAAATTATTTAAGAAATAGTTAATAAAATAGTTTATAAGTTTAGTTATAATATGAAATTGAATATAAAGTGGTGAAAAACCTTTTTTTTTATATAAATATAGTTACATGAAATTCAACTGCTAAAAAGGTTAAATTAAATACTACAGCAGGCCGCTAATTGTATTATACAATATTATACACAGGAACGCACATTGCGTTGGCCACAGAACGCGTACGGCGTTGGACACAGAATGGCTTCTAAATTCTCAATGTCGCAACTCTTCCATCAGTGGTTCGAGTAGGTTCGCCATATGGCGCCCTCTTCCTGCAGTAAGACAGTATATGGAAAGTATCCTTTAGCCGAAGAAGTTATATGTATATATGTACAATAATTATACAGCTAAAGTACAATAGAATAAATTGATAATGCATTTTAGATATTTTATAGATAATTTTTTTTATTATTATTATGACAACTTAATTTTATGGACATAGTACGCTTACTTGTCTATAATTAAAAACAATATATAGGCCTAAGCCTAGGCTCTCATTTAATAAACATGGCCGATTAAAACGGATCGCGCGAGTTTGGAAGAAACGTGAGAATTCAATTTGTTCGATCTTTTAATAAACTGATTTTATGAGGTTGGTTACTTTTTAAAACTTGGTTTTGAACATGATGTTCACATACATTTAAATACAAATGCGACATAACTGACACCACCAGGTCTACTTCTGTTTACTCTGAGCGTGTGTAGCTGTAGCATTTTTATGTGCTAGGCCCTAGCTAGGAGGCCTAGGCTAGGCTTTGCCTAGATAGACGCAAAGAAGTAAGAAGAAGGTCTCCTCTTACGGCGAGTCTTATCACTGAGGATATCAGATTCCATTCCTAGCCTTGGTCCTATTATTAACTAGTATACCTAGACTAGGCGAGTATAACGCCTAACTACAGTACCTAACCTAGGGCCTAGCTACTACTGTAGGACCGTCTCGGCCGTGATGTATGATGGAACATATTTTTTTTGTATCAATGGTTGATTGCATACGATACAGTAGGCCTAGGCCCTAACTAAGCTAATCCTTACCTAGTTTTTTTTTCACTGTAACTTTATTACCTGTACATAGTATTTTACAAAAGTCAGATATAAATGTATATTTGATTTAACAAATTAATTCAATATCGGAACAAAATGCATGGTCTTTTATTATTAAGCATTCTGAAATTGATAACTTTTTATATAACTAGGGCCTGTATAATAATAATGTAGGCCTTTTTTACATCCCTGAAGCTTGACGTGACATAGGATTAGAAAGTGAAAGGTCCACCGCTTAAATTCAATAAGAAAGTATATAAAATAGCCTATGCATTAGAATTGAAATACCCGCCGTCGAGTTGGGATTGACAGATTTGTAAACCAACCGCCTGGTGGGGGAGGTCCTAGGCTACACATTAATTAATGGTTCATGTTTAAACCCTAGGAATACACATTAATGAATTTTTAATTTTTGTTTTTCATGTACAAAATCCTAGCCGCGTAGAACTTCTAGCAGCCCGCTGCATATGATAACTGGCCTCTGCTAAGCCCGTGTGGTCTTTCTCTATGCCTAGAGACATTCGCGATGCGTTCCGCTCAGGTTTCCCCGACAAGAGACGCTAATCACGCATGCACTACTGATCTGATAGCATTGGGGGCTATTTTCATAACTCGTGTTCTGTTTCTAGAGATACGGTACCGTATTTCTACTTCTGTGTACTGAAGGTATGCTAAATGGCATTACGTCACCATCACCCAATGAAGTGCCAAAATGTGTGCGACGTCAACTTTCAAGACTGGCATTGGCAGTGTGAGCTGTGTGACTAGCGAACAGTGTACTGGATTAGCACATGCTTAGCTAGGCCAAGATAGCTAGGAGCACACAAAAATGATATCCTTCAATTGACTTCAAATACATTTTCACATTAATTCAATGGATGGAAAGTAAGACATTGATGTGACTAATCTACTGTTTACAGTAGATGACAAAAATTTGTTGAATATTTACAGAGTTATGCTAAATTTAATAATATAAAAATCTTTCCCGATCTATGCACGTTGTCCTATCTTGAATTTGTGACCATATGCTTTCTTTGATTTGTCTTTGGAAGACCTTGGATTCATTAACAAGAACATTTGTGTTATCCCAATCCTTAATTGTGGTTAGAATGAATGACTGGAAATGAATTGGTCAGAAATACCAAGCAAGTCATGAACAGGGGCACTGGCTCACACGAATTATCTCACCTTTATATGATAACCTGTTTATTCCAAGCAGGGATGTATAGCCACGGCCCCCCCCCCCCCCCCCCCCCCTCCC